CCGGCGGGGCCCGGAGCGCGGGGACAGCGGAGGAGGCCCCCGAGGAGGGGCCGGGCCTGGGTGGGTGAGCGTCGCCCGGACCTCAGAAGCGGGAACCCCACATTCGGATGCGAGCGGGAAAGGCTGTTCCGAGGGACTGGGCACTCTCCACGGGGTGGGGGGGCCTGGCGGGCGGCTGAGGGCACCGGAGGCACGATTTGGCCCCACGCTAGCAAGTTGGGCTGCAGAAAGAATCGTGTCTGGCCCTCCTACCTGTCGCCCTGCCTGCTGTCCCCTCCCCCGCGAAGGGTGGGCCAGATTCCAAAAGACTAGAGGGGCGTCCCAGCGAGGCGATTCTGGAGGTGCGAGACAGTGAGGGGGCCGCCGCCACCTCCCCAAGTTCGGATTTGCAAGCAGCGCTGGGAAGCGCTGGTTGGGGTTGAGGCCAGATTGCAGAAGACAATGAGGTTTCCAGCGTTACCTCCTTCCCCCGTTGTTATGAATGTCGTTATGCCAAACGTGGGAAGCAGGGAGGAAAAACAGCACCAGGAACCCTGCAGCCCTGACACCTTTCTTAGGGTCTTGATTCCATCTAAGCATATTTCTAACAGTTGACCCACATTTTCCATTTCCTTTTCCGGTTAACATATAACATACAATATCATATAGTCCCCCGCAACGTCATTTCCCTTGCTTTAATAAGTAGCAAGTATTCATCGTAGAAAAATTCAGGAATATAGCAAGCAAAAATAGAAGAAGTACCGGCGGGTTTACTGTCTGGAGACATTACCATTGCATGGAGCGTGTCTATTTTTGGTTGTGTATACTCTTTCCAAGAGGGCAGATGAGGCGCGGATGAGTTTAATTTTTATGGAAGCTTTGAAGATTTTCGGTAGGTGAGCTGCTTGCTCTGAGGCTCTGTGTGGGAGGAAGACAGAGCAGCTTAGGAGGCGGCTGTCTGCAGGAGCTCCAGCAAGGCCCAGGCCTGGAGCAGGTGTACTCATTTTGGAGGTAGAATCAACAAAACTTGGGGATGGATTGGTGAGGCGAGCGAGAGTCTGTGCTCTTTTTTAGTTCTGAGCAGCCGAGGAGATGATGGTGCCCTTTATTGAGCTGAAAATGAAATGTATTTGAGGTGGGAAAAAGCGTGACTTGTTTCAGATGTGATGTGTTAAATTTGAGGTGCACGTGCGGTGTTTTGGGCTTTTTTTTCCCCTTCTAATAACAAGAATACTGGGAACTCGGTGATGAGAGAGTAGGGTTCATTGAGCTCACCGTCTGCGGCCCAGCAGCTGTGTCTGGTGATAGTTTGCAGGTCCTGATCACGTGACAAGGGTGAGCAGGGTGGCTGGCTGTGGCAGTCTCGTTCCCCCATGGGAGCCCGACTCAGCGCAGTCACGGGGCGCCTCAAGCCTTGGTCCTCGCTCTTCCCGAAGGCTCCGCTGTGCACACAGCACTGGATCAAGGTTCCTGCTCATCCCCTCAGCAGCTCCGCACACGAGCTGGGGGGACACACTCACGGTAGCGGGAGGGGGCTTCCGAAAGTTCATGGAAGATGGGATTAAAACAGAAAGTGTAAACTTTATTTCTCAACATAAGCTCTGTCAGCTCCACACTACCTGCTGGCTCCTGTCTTATCCTTTTTAATGCCTCAAAAATGGAGGCTGTTCAGACATGTTACAACAGATCAGTATGAATTAATTTATTTTTGGTGTTTTGCTATAGGCCCCATGCGCTTGCTGGAGAGTCAGAGAGAGAGGAAAGTAAGAAGTTACTCCCCTGGGGGGATGACCACTCCACAGTCCCTCTTCCGTTCTCCTTTCTGGATTTTGGGCACAGACGCACACATACCTGACTTATTTTTCAAGCTGCTGGGTCCAGGACTTGAACTGCGCGGTCGGCCATGTAGGTTCTAGTGCCTTAACCATCACACCACCTTTTGGCCCAGTACAAGTTTATTTTGATACACACTCACACAAATTACGTGCATAATTTTTTCAGAAGTTGCTTTTTCGTAAACTTTGAAGGACTCCCCCTGCCCAGTTAGTCAGTCGGATGTTCAGATCTCGACTGCGAGGAGAGCGAGGCTAGGACTGCAGGTCAAAGTTTGGGAACGGTCACTGTCTAATAGCTGGTGTGCAGGGGTGTGGGACTGCGAGACCCCTGAGGGAAAGTGCAGGGAGAAACGAAGGGCCGGGGCCGGGGCGGCAGGCCCTCCTGGGTCGTTAGGCCCTCCCGCGTCTGGTAGAGGAGTACTGAGCAGAGGACGCAGAAACGTGGACGTGGAGGAGAGGTAGAGACCGACGTGTCCTCTGGGAGCCGAGAGGGGTGAGTCCCTAGGAGGTGGGAGCCCATCCTCTTGTCAGGGCTTCTCGGGCGCTCAGTGAGATTGGCAGCTGTATTCGGCAAGATGGAGCATGGTTTTGGTCATTGGCGTTACTATCCATAGTTCTGGAAGTGGGACGTGGAAACTGGGTTAGAATGGAAACAATGAGTGAGAAAGTGAAAACAATGAGAGTGAATTTTTAAAAAGTGACCCATCTTGGGACCAGCAGTTAGCGTAATGGCTATGTCGCTGGACTTCCATGTAGTCAACTGCGGTTCGAGTCCCGGACTTGGTGGCTTCAATTCATGCCGGGCGCGTGTGCGTGCATGCTCAAGATCCCAAGAGGAGAATGGAGGAGAAGGGATTGTGGTGTGGCCATCCCCCCGGGGGGGTATTTCTCGCTTTCTGTCTCTCTGTCTGTCTCTGTCTGTCTGGCGAGCGCACATGCCCTATAACAAAAACCTCTCAAAAAAAAAAAAGTGACCCATCTTTATGATTCCATATTTCCATCTGCCCCATAAACTAAATTCCATACATGGAAGATGGTGTCCTGTTTTTTTTTTTATTTTTTATTTTTTTTTGTTCCTCGATTAATAGTATGCTTGAACTTTTTTTGGCCAGTTGTGAGTTTCTCTTCTTATTCTCTATCCGTATTTTTATTTATTTGACATTTTCTGATTTTCAAAAGGTCATTGGAAAAGTAATAACGTATGTTTTCTGTTTTTCTCTGACGACCCAATATGTAGTTTGACATGTAGCTTGCAGAATTTTCCTCTCACATATTTTATACGGGGGTGTCTTCAAAGAGTGAAGCATACCTACTACACAGTTTTCATTGACTGTATTGAAGGCCCTTCATTGAAGCCGCCAGGTCCAGGACTCGAACCATGGTCAGCCATGTGGGAGTCTAGCGCCCTGAATGTTTTCCGTTTTACTTAGTAGCGTTTGCTACGGACTCTTATGTATTATAAGACATACAGGAAGAGGAAAACTAACATTTAATTTACAGATCTGAGTGCAGTCCACATCTAATATACATCGCCACCCTGCCTTAAGAGTTTTCTTAGGATGCATTCTCAGAAATACTTGGTCCTTTTTTTTTCTTATCCGGGCATGGATTTTAATTTGGATCTTCATTGCCACTTCCTTGAATTGGCCACCATCTCCCGACTTTAATCCTGTCTACCCGGAAAGCTGCGTTCCTAACTGCTCCCCGGTGAAGGGTGGGCCTGGTGCTCTTGCAGTCCTGTGAAACAAGACATGGGAATCAGATTGTTTCCCTGTCATCTGTTCTGTGGGAGTAAGGGAAAAAAGGTTTTGGAGGCTGGAGTTCACTTTATGGATGAGACAGAATTTTTTTTCCTATCAATCTATTTAGTTAATTTTTGCCAGAGGGCATGTGTGCTCACTGGAGAAAGAAAGGGGAAAAGAAGGAAAAAGAGGGAAAGTGAGAAAGCCCCTCCCGTGGTCCCGCCACAATCCCTTCTCTTCCGTTCCTCCCTCCTTTCAGCAGTTTGGGCGTACATGCACACATGCCTGGCGTGTTCTCAAGATACCAAGACAGATTTGACTGTGAAGTAAGCCATGTGGGATCCAACACCTGAAGCACCAGGCCACAGCCTGGCCCAATACGATTGAATTTAATTCTTTTTTCTTTTTTAAAGAATTATTTTATTTAACTTTATTTATTTATTTTGATTTGACCAGAGAGGGACAGAGTAAGCAAGAGAGAGAAGGCGAGAGGGAAAGTGAGAAAGCAAGCTGCCAGTTCCAGGACTCGAACCACGGTCAGCCATGTGGGAGTCTAGCGCCCTTAACCACGCCACCTGCCGACCCCATGGAATTTGATTGTTGAAGTGTGAGGAGTATTTTGGTGAGCAGAGAAAGTCTAAGTGAAATACCAACTCACTGGAAGGTGATTATGAGGCGTTGTCTGTGGCCTAGTGCCCATCTCTGCTGCATCGTTCCAGTCCCAGACCCGGTGCCTTGGGAAGCATGCCGGGCAGTGCGCATGCATGTCCAGACTCCCAGCAAGGTGGGGCAGTGGGGATTGCAGTTTGACCATGCCACTGGGGCCTACTTCCTCCCTCCCTCCCTCTCTCTCTCTCTCTCTCTCTCTGACAGGGGCATGTGCCCTCTGGCAATGAAAAACAAAGATAATTGTGTGGTGTCCTGGCATGTAGACCTTGATGACTGGAAAACTGCAAGGCAGAAGAGCTAGTTTTCTTGGGTAAGAATTGTCCTGCTTACCTGAAGAGTGAGCTCTGGAGGGGACCCGGTAGTAAAGAAAGCTGAGGGGCGAAGAATGCAGAGGGCTTGTGATTTGTAATGTTCTGTCCACAGAGTTGTGGGTACAGTAGTGGTACGTTTCTTTTTTAGAATTACTTATTTTTGTCTATTACTATTTTTTAATTTGCTGTAGGGCACATGTGCTCCCCAGAGAGAAAGAGAAGGAAAGTGAGAAACAAAGCCACTGTGTCTGGAACATGAACTGTGGTCGGCCACATGGGAGTCTAGCACCTTAACTACCACGTCACCTGTTGGTCCCTGTGTTTTGTTTTTTTATAGGTAGTTTAGTTGAAAGTATGGATGTAATTTCTAATGGAGATAAACTCGTGGCCCTGGTGTTGTGGCATAGTGGTAACACAGTGGCCTGCCAGGCTGGAAGCATGGGTTTGGGTCCCCAAGTTGGCCTGAGAACACACTGGTGAGCTCCCGGGCACCAGGACCCCAGGACTGGGAAGAGAGCGCAGTGCGATGAGACCCTGTTAAGGGTCCTCTCTCTCTCATGTCCATGCATGTGCACATGCACTTTTTAATCATTTAAAAAAGGGGGGGGAGGACCAGCAGTTGGCATAATGGCTATGTCACTGGACTCCCATGTAGTCGACTGCGGGTCAAGTCCCAGACCAGGTGGCTTAAACTCACACCGGGCACGTGTGCGTGCGTGCCCAAGATCCCGAGAGGAGAATGGAGGAGAAGGGATTGCGGCGTGACCATCCCCCTGGGGGGCGATTTCTTGCTTTCTCTCTGTCTCTCTGTCTTTCTGGTGAGTGCATGCACCCTATAGCAGAAACCTCTGTTTAAAAAAAGAAAGAACGAAAGGAACCCTGTACCGATGGGTAGGCAGTCCCAGTGACCCCCCTCCTCATCCCTTGGCCGCTACTGTTTCGTCCTTGCATCCGCCTGTTTCTAGACACCTCACCTAAGTGGAGTCGTGCTCTGTGGGCTTCTGTATCCAGCTGCTTTCACTTGGGACAGTGTTTTCGAAGTTCATCCGTGTCCCAGCCTGTGTCAGCGTAGCCGTGAGTCAGAATGGCGTCTGGTCAGTGATGTGGCCTGTGCCGCGGTCCTCCTCCAGATTAGAGCGGGCTGTTCCGTATAGCCTGGGGTGCCGTGGGCCCTCCCGTCGGTCTGCAGGTGCACAGGTGTTTACACAGAGGTGATTGCCTCACAGCGCCTCCCCCAGGGCTTCTCCCCGTGAGTGAGCACGCTGTGCACTCCTGAGTGTGTGCCCGTGTGTGCGTGCGTGTGCGCGTGCGTGTGCTCACGTGCCCATAGCAGGGGCACAGCCACAGCACAGTCCTTCGCTCTTTTTCTTTTTTGAAGAGATTTTTTGCTGTAGGGCACGTGTGCTCGCCTGAGAGACAGAAAGGGAGAGATCACCCCCAGGGGATGGCTGCACCGCAGTCCCTTCTCCAATCTTCTTTGGGGATTTTGGGCACACGCACACATATGTGCCTGATGTGAGTTTTAAGCCACCGGGTCTGGGACTCAAACCGCTGTCTGTGGTAGTCCAGCGACCTAACCTTTATGCCATCTGCTGGCCCCAACGGCCTTTTTTTCCTCCGCTTCTTCCCGTCGAGATTCCCGGCACTCATGTATGCATGTGTACATGCCCAACATGTTTTCCAAGCTGCTGGGTCTGGGATTTGAACCACTGTTAGCTATGGCAAATCCAGTGTTCTATGCACAGCACTTAACCATTACACTGTGGTGCTAGCTCTTGCTCTTTTTTTTTTTGGAGAGGTTTTTGCTATAGGGTGCGTGTGCTCGCTAGACTGAGACAGAAAGCGAGAAATCACTCCCCAGGGGAGATGACCCCACTACAATCCCTTCTCCTCCATTCTCTTCTCGGGATCTTGGGCAAGCACACACACGCGCCCAGCGTGAGTTTTAAGCCACCGGGTCCAGGATGTGAACCGCGGTCGACTACGTGGGAGTCCAGCGGCATAGCCATTACGCTAACTGTTGGTCCCGCTCCTTCTTATTGCTTAATATTCCATTGTAGAAATACATCACATTTTGTTTATCCATTCTTCAGTAGATAGACATTTGAATTGTTTTCACCTTTTCACTGTTAAGAATAACATTGTTAAGACTATTCACTACAGACTTGCATGGACATATATATGTTTCCATGTCTCTTGGAGATGTGTATATTACTACATTTATAGTAAACACACACACACCCCCCATACCCAGGGGGTATGGCCATGCTGCAGTCCCTTCTCCATTTTCACACCTGATGTGAGGTTTGAGCCGCCCGGTCTGGGACTGGAACCACACTTGACTACGTAGGAGTGCAGCTACATAGCCATTATGCCATCTGCTGGTCCCAGACATAAACACCTATTACTCCAGAGGCTTCTTCACGTCCTCTGAAGACCTCTCTTGCTCCCTGTCCTCTTCTCTTCCGCAGGGAAGCTGCTAGTCAGTGCTTCATCACTCCAGACTAGTTTGTATTTTATTTGAATAGAATCATACAGTATATATGGAAAGGTGGCTTTTAGTCCACATCATTATTATTATTATTATTTTTTGGAGAGGTTTTTTGCTATAGGGCGCGTGCGCTCGCCAGACAGACAGATAGAGACATAGAGACAGAAGGCGAGAAATCACCCCCCAGGGGGGATGGTCACACCGCAATCCCTTCTCCTCCATTCTCCTCTCGGGATCTTGGGCACGCATGCATACGCGCCCAGCGTGAGTTTTTTAAGCCACCGGGTCTGGGATGCGAACTGCGGTCGACTATGTGGGAGTCCAGCGACATAGCCATTACGCTAACTGCTGGTTCCCCACATCATTATTTTGAGATTAATTCATGTTGTCGCATGTATCAGTAGTTCATTTATTTTTATCTTTTTAATTTTATTTATTCATTCATTTATTTTAATTCGACCAGAGAGAGAGACACAGTGAGAAAGAGGTAAAGTGAAAAAGCAAGCCACCAGGTCCAGGACTCGAACCGTGGTCAGCCATGTGGGAGTGTCCAGCATCCTAACCACCATGCCACCTGCTGGCCCCCCATTCCTATTACTGAAGAATATTTTACTGTGTGGGTATATCACAGCTTGTTTATCCCTTCACCTATTAATAGACATTTAGGTTCTCCAGTGCGTCTTGATTTTAACTATTACGGTAAGCCGCTGTGAACTTTCATGTACAAGTCTGTGGGGCACATCCTTTTATTTTTCTTGAGTAAATGCCTAGAACTGGAATGGCTGGGTCATGTGGTACACGTGTGGTATGTTTAACTTTTTAAGAAAACTGCGAATTGTTTTCAGAGTGATCTTGCCATTCACTTTACATTCCCACCAACAATATGTCACGAGCTTTAGCTGGTCCACATTTTATGTAGTTGGCTTTTCGTTTGTCCACACGGTGTACGTGCCCGCCAGGGAGAGACGGCACTCCCCTCTGGGTGTGGCTGTGCTGGAATCTCTTCCATCTCTATCTTGAGGAGGTTATGGGCAGGCACCTGGTGTGTTTTTCATGCCCCTGGGGCAAGAATCCCAACATTTGGCCATGTGGCATCTGGCCCTCTTACCTACTCACTTAATGGCGTCTAGTTGTTTTTAATGTAAGAAAAATGGGAACAAAACTAGAAGAGTCATATAGACATTTATGCTCCATTTCCCGGTTTGTCCTGTTGGTTCTTTTCCCCCAAAATAACACGTGCATGGTTAGAAAATTTAAGCATGGCAGTCAGAAATAAACTGTTTTGGTATTTCTCCCTCCCTAGAAACGTCTTTGTAAGCATATACCATTATTTCTTTTGTCTCCTTTCCCAGTTTACAGAAAAGGAATAAAAATAAACAGTTTTCTACCTGTTAGCATTTTTCACTTTACAATTTATTTTAGGGGTATTTCCATATTAGCACATTCTTTCAGTTTTTGCTGTGGGGTGCAGGCACTCACCAGAGAAAGACAGAGACAGAAGGAAACTGAAAAATCAACCCCCTGGGGGATGGCCATGCTGCAGCCCCTTCTTTCCCAGTGTCCTCTTGGGATTTGGAGCACAAATGTACACGTGCCTAGTGTGGTTTTCCAGGCCGCCCGATCCAGGACTCACACCAGGTAGGCGACCGTGTGGGATCCAGCATCTTAACCTCCACGCCACCTGCTGGCCCCCGCACGTTCTTCGTAATGGCTGTGTGACAGTCTCACAGCACTATAATCGGTTTCCATATAAGAAGACACGAATTCGTTCCAGTGCAGTTGCTACTTGTATTTGAGAACTGAGTGTAACGCGAGCCCCACATTTGCTTAGCTGTGATTTCATCTGCAAGGGGTGCATGCAGAAAACCGCAGCCTGCCGCACAAGCCCCACAGACACACCTCGTCCTGCAGCCATGGCAGCCCGCTGTGAGCCACTCAGCGCGTCGGCTCTCGATTTCAGGCAGCCCTCCTTCCACCCCTGCACGGTAACTTGCTAGCTGTAACGTCGCGTGCCCAATTCTACAGCAAACGTCAGGTCGTTCTCAAAGCAAGGTCTCATATTATTGTAGCATTTAATCAGTTTCTCAACTGCCTTAATATGTAAAATTGTGCTACTATTTTCATTACTTTTTTTATGTCACTGGTGAAGTTTTTATTTTATTTTATTTATTTTAATTTGACCAGAGAGGGGCAGAGAGAGAGAGAGAGAGAGAGAGAGAGAAGAAGCCACCAGGTCCAGGACTCAAACCCTGATCTGCCATGTAGGAGTCCAGCACTGTCAACCACCACACCACCTGCCTGCCCCTGATTGAAGTTTTTGAGAGCTTGCCCTAACTTTTTTTTGTTTTTTTTGAGAGGTTTTTGCTATAGGCTCGTGTGCTCGCCAGAAAGACAGAAGACGAGAAATCAACCCCCAGGAGAATGACCACGCAACAATCCCTTCTCCTCCATTCTCCTCTCGGGATCTTGGGCACGCACGCACACATGACCAGTGTGAGTTTAAGCCAC